AACCCCCCCTGAACCCTAAACTCTAAACCCTAAACCCCAAAACCTTAAACCAAAGAATCCTGGGATTCCAGGGAGCGGAGCTGGCGCCTCGAGGTCGCAGACGCTGCTCCCCCTGCCTAGCTCAACGAGCCCAGGCAAGGGGGAACTTCTTGCTGAGGTTTAGGGTTTAGGGTTTAGGGTTTAGGGTTTAGGGTTTAGGGTTTAGGATTTAGGGTTTAGGGTTTAGGGTTTAGGGTTTAGGGTTTAGGGGTCTAGGGGTCTAGGGGTTTAGGGGTTTAGGGGTTTAGGGGGTTTAGGGGTTCAGGGGTTCAGGGGTTCAGGGGTTTAGGGGTTTAGGGGTTTAGGGGTTTAGGGGTTCAGGGGTTCAGGGGTTTAGGGGTTTAGGGGTGTAGGGGTTCAGGGGTTCAGGGGTTTAGGGGTTTAGGGGTTTAGGGGTTTAGGGGTTTAGGGGTTTAGGGGTTTCAGGATTTGAGGGGTCTAAGGGGTTGAGGGGTTTAGAGGGTTTAGGGGGTTTCGGGGGCTGAGGTGTTTAGGGGTTTAGTGGGTTTGGGGTTTAGGGGTTTGGAGATTTACGGGTTTGAGGGGCTTGCGGGGCTTGAGGGGCTTGAGGGGTTTGAGGAGTTTGACGGGTTTGAGGGGGTTGAAGGGTTTTAAGGGTTTAGGGTTTAGAGCTTCAGGTAGTGTTCCCAGCGTTCCTCACCGCGCCACTGAACTGTAAACCCTCGAGTCTACATCTCTGCAGAAAAACCTACAAACCCAAGAAGGCTTGTTTATAAAACTGTAAATCCTGTAAACCCTGAAAACCCTAAACACCCTGTTTAAAGCCCTGAAATTGCACCCTACGACGCCACGTATAAATCCCCAGAAGCCCCAAAAGCCTTATAAGCCCTAAAAAAAACTGATGAGCCCTATAAGAGCCATAAACTCCATTATTGTAAGAAGCCCCCTGAACCCTTTAAGCCCTACTTGGGGGTGAGGGCCTGGGACGAAAGCTACTTAAGGTACCCGACGGAAGAGCATTCACCAGGAACGAAGACGTGCAGCTGAGCAGGCAGCGTGCAAGAACGGTCGGAATTCGGCAAGCATAAGCAGTCCAGAGGAACTGTACAGCGGGGAAGGCCCAGGTTGAAAGAGGGACCTTCGTTTAGACAGAAATTTTAATCCAAAAGAACACGTTCACGTGCAGTCCGTCTGGAGTTCCGAATGAGATGAAAGAGAGGCGCTCTTTTGGAGATAAAGTAGAACGCAAAAGAACGCGTTGACAGGAGTTGCTTCGGAGCTCCGATGATCATTTCGGCATCGCCGCTTCAGCTAGTTCTCGCAAGCTCGGCGGCAACTGAGGCATAGCCGGAGGCGCCAAAGCCCGCAAACCCGAACAGGCAGTGCCACTTGGCGATACGCATGTCAATCAGTGCATTAGCGGCCGGCAGGAGGCGCAGAAAAGCTCGTTGGACAGCCTGGGCACAGTACGGTCGAAGCGCAGTCATGGAAGCCGAGGGATAGCAGTGTTCTTGAGGCCGGTGATGGAGACAGTGTCCCCAAGTCTGGCCAACCTGAAGCCGGCTACCGCGCAGCCCGGAAGCCGGAGCGCCCACGCGGCTGCTCCGTCCCCTATATGCAGGAGAGGGGTCAGCGCGAAACCAACGTACTGCAGCTGTCTGGCCGGACGGGGATGTATTGAGACGGCATTTGTAAAAGTATGTCATGACAGCCCCCAAATACCCCATTTTGGGGGGTTCCTGCAGTAAGGATTGTAGTATTTGGAGAAAAAAGAAAAGGGGGTACCCCAGATATGAGGAAATACCCAACCTGTGGCGCCAAGTTCATACGATTTGCGCGCATGAGGGTACATGAGGGTTCTACTTACGTCGATATTGTCCCCAGTAAGGTTCCCCTAATTTCGGAAATCCCCATAGATGCCCTTTTGAGGGAACATATCTCCTCCCTATATATACCCTTTAAGGGATTATAAATCCCTTATATGCACCAGTAAGGCGCACACCCAACCTTCGGTGGAGAGGCAGCCCGAAACCCTAAACCCGAAACCCCAAACCCTAAACCCTAAACCCTAGGGTTTAGGTTTAGAGCTTAAGCATGTTGGGAGGCGTCGCCACAGCAGTACGCCCGCAACGACACGATATGGGGACGCTCGCCTGACTGGGACGTGAAGCGAATTTCTCCAGTCGAAGACCTGAAGCTTAGGGTATAGGTTTAGGGTATAGGTTGTTTGGGGTTATGGAAAAGCTTGAGGGTATGGGGGTTTACGAAATTAGGGGCCGTTTCAAAAAGGGAAGCCCACTATTTGGGGTCGACATTAGGGTCCCTTATTTGCGTAAACTCACATCTCAGAGCGCTTACGCTCCAAAATCGCGGAGGCCCGAATCTCTGAAACCCGAGCCCTTTGGATCTCAAAACAACTGTTTAGGGTTTAGGGTTTAGGGATTTAGGGTTTAGGGATTTAGGGTTTAGGGTTGAGGGTTTAGGCTTTAGGCCAGAAATTGGGAGGTCCCGACAAGCCCAGCCCGCGCCTGAAACACATGAATTTGCATAATAAGACAGTGGAAGCCCCAAAGACGGAAGGCAAAAGAACGCAATGTCGAGAGAGGACGCGAAACCGCAGGCAACGGGCAGGCGACATTTTTTCGGAAGAAGTGCTGGGCTAAGCGCAGTCAGGTCAGAAAATGTTTGCGTGTTCCGGAGCCGCGGCCCTGGGCACTACCCCAGTCAGGCCAGAAAATCTTTGCGTGTTCCGGAGTTGCGACACTGGGCACTACCCCGAGAAATCCCTGTAGAGTCAACAGACCGATCATACCACGAAGTGTTCAGCTCACACGGGGAAAGTGATCACAACGCCACGAACGCAAGGGATGTCCGACCGGAATGCCCAGCGCTCTGGAGCGCGTGCCACGCCGGCAGCCCTGGCCGCCGCCATCTCCCGCCAAGCGCCTCCTTGAACCACGCTGCGAGCATCCTCCAAGACTGCTTCTCCGACGATGTGAATTCCAGACTGGCCCTTCGGTGTAGAAATGGAGCGGCCGACAGCTTGCAGCAGCGACTCGCATTCATCAGGGCCCTCCGGAAGACCCAAGCTGGCCTGGCAAAAAAGGACGTTGATGGAAAATCTTTCCAGCTGTCCATTGAGATGGCCGAACCACGCCCTCCCTCAAAATAGCTGCCGCCTGTCGCCATCCCGCGCCATGAACGAAGATGCACGCGTGCGAGCCACCGGAAGGATGCACCTCGTGCCAAGTCGGCGCATTCCTCGAAATGTAGTATCCTTGCCAGCCAACGCCCTGCAAATTGACCACCACTGGCAAGGACGTCTCATCCTTGCCGATGAGGTTCCACAGGATGGCAGTGTTGTGCAGCAGCTTGGCGGGGATGAGCGGAAACAGAGATGATAGCGCGTGCTTCAAGTCCGTCACATCACAAGTGGCATGAAAGACGGGCAGCGGTTCAGTCGCTGGAGCGATTCGCCTGGGGTCGGCCTCTGCAAGCTGGAACGCCACTTCCCACATACCGAGCGCTTTGTTCTTCATCATCGTCGCGGTCTGCAGGGGGCTTCTCGTTTTTTGCCTTTGCCGTCGATCATCTCGCGCTGTACCCATCTGCATCCGCATCCTGGCCACGTGTTGCACGCTGCCCAGCACCATCGCGCCATGGGTTCCTTGACCAAGCAGCGCCACGTTTGGAGCCATAGGGGGCCACCGCCTCTTCCTGCCTCTTGCCTTCTTTCTGCCCCTTGCTTTCGTGCCGAACCATACCAGGTAGTCGGTGAGTTCCAGGAAGTGTTGCTTGCATCCCACCAGGACTCGTCTCGCCGCACATGCCACCAGGTTGCGTCCTGCCAGTCAGTCGCTTGCTCGTTTCCACTTTGCCAGGTCTTGGACGTTTCTGCGTTCCTTGGCGCACGCTGTTCGCGTCGCCGGCGCCCGCTTGCGGACCTGGCTGCTTTCCTTGACTCATGCTGTTTGCATCTCCGACGCTTCTCCTTGTGCCTCACCTGCTTCCTTTTGTCTACACGCGGGCGCCGACTCTTGGCTTTCCGGCGCCCGCGCGAGCTGCGACTCTGCGAACTGCTGGAGCTGGAAGAGTGGAGGACGAATGCCGGCGATTGCCCATGGCCCAGGGTAGGGCTCCCGCGCGACAGAGCAGGAGCTGAGTCAATTATAGCTTACCTCAAGATTTGAAAGAGTTCCGTTTTAGGGCCCTGCGCTTCAAGTAATTTGCCCGAATATGCGTTGCCATTGCAGAACTGGGCATATGCAACGGCTCGATAAGCCATGCTGCCTTGGGCCCCTGTCAAGCACAGTTTTCGCTTCACGTTTAGGTGCACCGTGCCGATACTCATGCAGGTGCGGTGCCCCGACCTGCAAGCTTGGGCTTCAACATTTGTAGCGGGGGCTCGTAGGGAAAGGTTCAGGGTTCGAGGGCTTTGGGATTCAAGGGCTTCCACGTCCGCCTGGATCGTTAGCAAGTTGCCCTGGCGAACTCCAATCAACCTTCTCTGGCCGGTTCGGGATGGGCGACACAGGCCAGGAGACCGGGCGAGGAGAATGGATGACCATGTTCTCAAGCCTGAAGGCCCTGAACCCAGCCTTGAGATGTCGTATACAAGCACCTATTTATTAGGTTACATAATATCTTGTATGTATACTATCAAGTCCTTCTTGGCTCGGTAGCTACGCTGCCAAGTGGCGCCGCGCGCATCTCGAAGTCAGGCTCCGCCAACATGGCATCAACTACGCACGAGTCATCTCACAGAACATGGAGGTCAAGCGCCTCTGCGGCAATAAGTAGAAAAGCTACGAGGCGTCAAGAGGGCTTGACGAAGCGGCCACCGTCGTTCCCTTCCTACTAGATGTTCAAAAACCCAGGCTTGACATGGGATTTTTGGGATCCACAGAAAACGGTGTTCATTTGCACCAGTATACAAAAGAAATGAACTCCCCAAAACATGGGTTTCGGCACCGGAAATCGACCGGGTTTGCTGCTTTTCGTGGCGGAGCCTCCGGGGGCCCTGTATACCTATCTGGTTGTAAGCTTCGCTTAAGTAAGATACTCCGCTAGCTCCTCAGAGGCTAGCTTTCGTGACAAACCCGAAAAGCCCAACCCTAAACCCTAAACCCTAAACCCTAAACCCTAAACCCTAAACCCCACAAAGGTGGGGCTGAGCTTGTTCACTGTTTGTCTCCACCTTGCGGCTTTGAGTTTGGCCTCTCCTGGTTCGGGGTTGCGAATCAGGGCTAAGGAGTTTGGGGTTTAGGGTTTGGGGTTAGGGTTTAGGGTTTAGGGTTTCTAGTTTCGGGTTTAGGGTTTAGGGTTTAGGGTTTGGGGTTTAGGGTTTACGGTTTAGGGTTTAGGGTTTAGGGTTTAGGGTTCTGATTTTGAGTTTAAGGTCTGGGGTTTAGGCCTTAGGTTCTTGTTTGATGTAGGGCTTGGGATTTTGGATGTATACAGGGCTGGGGGCTTAAGGCTTCGAGTGTGGGATTTGGAGAGTTTAGGGTTCAGGGTTTAGGGTTTAGGATCGGTTTCTTTCGGGTTTCGACAGGCGGGTTTATGGGTTTATAGGCTTATCTGCTTTACAGGGCTTATGGGGCTACACAGGGCTTGTAGGGTTGGGCTTATAGGGTTTTTAGGGTTTGGTTTATAGGGCTTACAGCTTCTATAGGGCGTGTAGCGTTTACTGGGCTTATAGAGTTTAGGGGTCTATCCAGCATACCGGAGGAGTCGCAAGCCCCTGAGTCTCACGTGAGACATGCCAAGCGTTGGCCGTGCAGTGGATTCGGGTCAGCATGAAATACCTAAAACCCTAAACCCCAAACCCCTGCAGTTTTCCGAAACCCTAGGCCCTGAAAAAGATCTTAAACCGTGTAGAGATTTGGGGCTGGGCTCAGGGTCTAAGGGCTTAGCTGCCAGTCATATGATTAAGGGGTAAAAGGAGGGATCCTTAATCTGATTCCCTATATAACCCCTATATACACCTTATATAGCCCCTCTATCCCTAAGTAGCCCCGAAGTAACCCCCACATAACCCTTATCCCTTTATAAGGGTCCCTTCTTTAGTCCCTTGATACGAAGTCCACACATCCACTGCACGTGGTTTCGGAGCAGCGGACGAGGCTGTTCGAAGGTCAATGCTGGTGAGAAGCTGCATCCTGACAGTTGCCGGTCTGGGAGCGAATCCTGCCCCACATGCTGCTGAGGACACTCCTAAAACCTTGCTCTTTTGCGATAATTTTCGACCCATACAGTAGCTTCAGCCTCTTCTTTGGGGCTCTTGGGAATGTACTTTCACTTCAGCATCTTCTTTAAAGGACGATCAACAGTAAGCCGTAAACCCTAAACCCTACACCCCCAATTTTGCACCCTAAGTCCTGAAACCCAAAAGTTGCGTTGGAGGGGCAGCCCGATGTATCGGACACTGCACCTTCGCACAGACAACTGCCAGACGCGTGCATGTTAGCTGCAGGCTGCAGCGTTCTTATGCAGAGTTTTTTCTTTGGGGTAGGGTTTAGGGTTTAGGGTTCAGGGTTTAAGATTAGGAGTTTAGGGGTTCAGGGTTCAGGGTAGGGGGCTTAGGGCTGACGGTTTAGGATTTAGGGTTTAGGGGCTTTGGGAGGGTCGCAGCCCTGCAGCTTCCTTGCAAAATTGGCTCGACCTGTGGACACATCGAGCTAACTCAGTCTCGCTCGACGGGCGCAATAGAAGTCCACAGCCCCAGCGCGGTCAAGCGTTGATGGTAGTCTTCGGCTGCCTGCACAAGACCCTACCAACCCTGAACCTTTCACTCAAATTCCTCAACGCCACACCCTGAACCCAAGCCCAAAGGTCCACATCCTAAACCTTCAGCCCCGAGAGATCAGGGTCTAGGGTTCAGGGCTTGGGGTTCAGGGTTGAGGGTTTTGCTTGATGTTGGGAGCCCTTACATACCCCTGAGAATATCCACAGAACCCCTGGACCCGTCTAGCATTCTGCGGAGTACACAAGCTACAGGAAGGGTTTAGGGTTCAGGGTACAGGGTTTGTAGAAATTGTATAGGGTCTGGGTTCCAATAACGTTTTGAGCGAAAGGTTGTGAGCGAAACGTTTTGAGCGAAACGTTCTGCTTTTAGACATTAGGTTTAAGGGTTTAGGGTTTATAGAAACTGTATAGGGTTTGGGTCCCAATAACGTTTTGAGCGAAACGCTTTGCGTGAAAAATTCTCTTTTAAAATGTAACTCATACACTTTGGCTCCCGGCCCTCGCCTCCTGGGACTGCGGGTCTCCCAGGGCCTTTCCTCTGGATGAAAGGCCCCAGAGGTTTAAGTATATTGAGTATTTGGCCTCCCAGGCGCTTTGGATGAATTTACTTAAGCTCTGCTTGTCAGCTGTTTAGACAAGTAACTTGGGAAATTCAGATAATATTTTGTCTTGAGGGTTTAGGGTTCAGGGTTTACGGTTCAGGGTTTAGGGTTTAGGGTACAGGGTACAGGGTAAAGGGTTTAGGGCAACAAGCTGAAGCCTCTGAATTGCACACCCGAGAAGGAACACAGATTTCTCGTCTGCACCAGCGCCTTCTTGAAAGAGTTGACGACCTCGGGGCCCAGCTTGAGATACCCTAAATCCCCTACATGCCCTCAACCCTAAACCCTAACCCTAAACCCTAAACCCTAAGCCCTAAGCCCTAAGCCCTAAGCCCAAACCCCTAAACCCCTAAACCCCTAAACCCCTAAACCCCTAAACCCCTAAAACCCCTAAACCCCTAAAACCCCTAAACCCCTAAACCCCTAAACCCCTGAACCCCTGAACCCCTGAACCCCTAAACCCCCAAACCCCTAAACCCTAAGCCCCTAAACCCCTCAACCCTTCAACCCTTAAACTAACCCTTAAACCCTAAACCCTACGTGTTTCCTCATGCCATGAAGAGCGAAGAGGCCTAGATTAAGGTTCAAAAGGGCCTCGGAACCTTGACGAACCTGAAGCCCGAAGCCCTCTGAATCCCAAAACCCAAAGCAAGTAGGGCTTAGGCGGCTGAGGGTTTAAGAGATACAAAGCGGGTTTAGGGGATTTAGGGGGGGGTGAATCCCTCAATCCGAAACTCCCCCCCCCCACTCCCCCACAGAAGGCGCAGACCCTAGATGCAGCCACGGAGCCACAGCGGTCCCCACTGGGTTGGCCATGGCACTCTCCTGGGTTTTCACGCATTCGGTCTTACCTAAATCCCACACCCCCAATCCCTAAACTATCACAGAAAAGGGCCTAGGCATTCGGTTTTACCTTGGAAAGGGGCAGCCTATACCAGGCATTAAAAACCCTAAACCCTACACCCTGAACCCTGAAACCCTGAATGCTACTTCTTTCAGGGGGAGGGGGCTTCAGTCTTCGGGCTTCAGGGCTGGAGAGTTTGTGACGCTGGGTTTGAGGTTAGGGTTCAGGGTTTGGGGTTTCAGGGCTTAGGAGGTTTGGATTTTGGGGGGTCTAAGGGCTTCTAGGCGGTTAAGGGCATTACAGGGGCTCGGGAAAGTCGACCCTTTTATTGGGGGAGACGTGAAACCCCAATGAACGCAGAGGGTTCAGGAAGTTGACGAAGTTGACTGCGGGATCCTTTCCCCCCAACGAACGCATGGATTTTACAGCTACGAAAAGCAGCAAAAATCCGGACGCAAGTATCGAAATCCCCAAGGAACGCTGGGGCTCAACATGCCTGAAAACATCATCCAACATGGTTGCTGAAGGACCTTCGCCCGAGCGAATCGCAAGCAAAGCATGGAGCCAAAACTTACGAAGAAGAGGCAACCATTTCTCTGAACCTATATCGCATCGTATAGCCAACATGGCTTATGACACGCATGCATGGAATTGTGGACAATTCCGCCCAAGGGAAACGCAGTTTCGGTCGAGTTCCTAAACGGCTTCCCCGCAGTGATTTGCCTTACCGCAAGAAAAAAATCAACTTTCCATGTTGCGTGTAGTGTGGGGGCTTA